GCCTAATCTGCCCATGGCACTGTTCGCATAGAGGCACAGAGAATGTCCTGGCTGTCCCATCTCATCCCATCGTGTCCCATCCTGTCAAATTCTGTCTGCCCTGTCCTATCATGTCTGTCCCATCCCATCCCATCCCATCCCATCCCATCCCATCCCGTCCCATCCTGTCCTGTCTGCCCTGTCCCGTCATGTCTGTCCCATCCCATCCCATCCCATTGCATCTGTCCTGCCCCATCTCGTCTGTCCCATCATGTCCCATCCTGCCCTGTCTGCCCTGTCCCGTCCTGTCCTATCCTGTGATATCCCATCCCATCCCGTGCTGTTCTGTCGCATCTCGTCAGGTTTGTCCTGCCCAACTCTGTCCCCTCCCGACCTGTCTGCCCCACCCTGTTCTGTCCCATCCTACCTTTCCCATCTTGTCCCATCATGTCCTGTCTGCACTGTCACACTGTGCCAAGTGTGCCCCACCTCACCCCATCCCATCACCCTCCACTGTCCATCCCGCCCTGTCGTGTCCCATCCCTCCACCCTGTCCCATCCCTTCCCATCCCGTCCCATCCCATCCCATCCCATCCCATCCCATCCCATCCCATCCCATCTAATCCATCCCGTCCCACCCCACCCCATCCCATCTAACCCATCCCTTCCCTTCCCTTCCCTCCCATCTAATCCATCCCGTCCCGTCCCATCCCATCCTGTCCCATCCCATCCCGTCCCATCTAATCCATCCCATCTCATCCATCCCATCTCATCCACGCCTTGCCATACTATCATATCCCACCTCATCCGTTCCATCATACCCCATCCCACCCTACCCCATCCCATCCCATTGTATCCTTCCCATCATATCCCATGCCATGCCATGCCATGCTGTCCCCTCCCCTCCCCTCCAACCAGGCTCACCGCTCGCAGTGCCGGCCGGTGGCATATAGATGCTCACCGAGCCCCACCTCAGCACCCCCAGTACACCCCCAGATCCTCCAGTACCTCCCAGTGCCCCAGTGCCCCCAGCAGCTGCGCAGGGTGCCCACGGCTGGTCCCCCGCAGGGCTGACAGAGGACGAGGACGTCCAGCGGATGCTGCGGGGGTCCCTGCTCCGGAAGATCAAGGCCCGGGGGATCCCCAGGGAGCGGCTCTTCCGCCTGCAGGAGGACGGGGCCACCGTCTGCTTCGAGGGGGGCTTCAGGCGCGCTCGCTCCGGGCAGAGCTGTGAGTGCTGGCGCTGGGGACCCTCCCCCTGGGGGTTGGGGACCCTGGACCACATCCTGCACAGCCTCGAGCTGCAGGGAGGGGTTGGGACCTGGGCGTGAGCTGGGACCCAGACCCCAGCCCAGGACACAAGACTCCCACCGACAACCTGGACCCCTGCCCAGAACCCGGTCCCCACCTGCGTCTCGCACCCGCACCCACCCCTGCCCAGAACCCGGTCCCCACCTGGGTCTCGCACCCGCACCCAGGACCCAGCCCCCAACCTGGGACCTGGACCCCCACGTGCAAACCAGATCTCACCCTGCAACCCAGACCCTCACGTGCAACTGAGACGCCCACCCTGACACCCAGACCCCAGTCCAGGACCCAGACCCCCACCCAGGACCCTGACCTGGGACCTGGACCCCACTCAGTCCCAGACCCCCACCCAGAAGCCAGACCCCAATCTGGGACCCAGACCCTATCCCAAGACCCAGACCTCAGCCCAGGACCCCAGCTGGACTCCATCTGGGAACCTGGACCACCACATGGGACCCAGACACCAACCCGGCACCCAGACCCCAGTCCAGCACCCAGACCCCAAACTGGGACCTACACCCCCGGCCTGGGACCCAGACCCTGACCCGAGTCTTGGACCCCCAGTCCCGAATATGGACCCTGACCCAGGACCCAGACCCACACCCACTGCACTCAGTGCCTCCCAGTGCTTCCCAGTGCATCCCATTACATCCCAGTCCACCCAGTGCCTCCCAGTGCACTCCAGGCCAAGCCCCCAGTGCCCACACCCTTTCCCACCCGCCTTGGGACCAGCATGAGGTCCTGTCTCCATCCTGGCCAGACTCTGTCCCTGCTCCCCAGCATCACCCATCTCTTCCCACCCTCTCATGTGGGACGGGTGCCCGGAGCTGGCACCTCTGCGAGACAGCTCCATCCCCCACCGGTGTCCCTGTCCCCATCCCCGCAGGGGACAGCGGCCACCGCTCCTGTCTCGCCTGGGATTAGTGAGTTAAGCCCGGCTGCGGCATCAACAGCACCCGAGCCCTTGTTCCCTGGGGCACAAAGGGGACACACAGGGTGGTCACCGGCAGCCCGGGTGTCTCGCTGGGTGCTCATGGGTGGGGGAAATGCCGAGGGACCACCTCCCTTCCCGGGGTGGCCCCGTCACCGCGCGTGTCCCCACAGTCTCGGTGATGCACGTCGAGGGGGTGCGCGAGGGACACCAGTCGGAGGGGCTACGCAAGCACGGGGCCGCCTTCCCCGCGCGGCACTGCTTCACCCTCGTCTTCAAGGGCAAGCGCAAGAACCTCGACCTGGCCGCCCGGGGCGAGGAGGACGCCCGGCACTGGGTGCAAGGGCTCACCAAGCTGATGGGGCGGCTGCAGGCCATGAGTCAAGTGGAGAAGCTCGACCAATATCCTTCGTTGGAGCTATGGGGGCTTGGGGACGGGTTGGGGACGGCCATGGGGGTGACGTCAGGTGGTTTCCTTACCTCGGCGTAGCTGGATCCATGGGGTCCTGCAGCGAGCAGACAGGAACAAGGACAACAAGATGTCCTTCCGGGAGGTGAAGAGCATGCTGAGGATGATCAACATCGACATGGATGATGTCTACGCCTACAAGCTCTTCAGGGTACCCACCCCGTGCTCCACCACCCGCTGTCCCCTGCTGCTGTCACTGGGAGGGAATGCTGGCTCCTCCTCTGCCTTCCCCAGTGCAGAGAGCTGTCAAACTCCTCACACCCAAAGCCACCCATCATCGCCAATGGCTGGGTCCACCACCAATGGCTGGGTCCCATCAGCAGCTCCTGCTCCTGATGGGGTGGGGTGAGCTGTCCCCCTGCCTGCTCTGTGGGTTCCCAAGGTGTGATATTCTCCCCCCCCACCATGGGCATCTCCCCCCATGGGCATCTCCCATGATCCCTTTCCATCTGGGGAAACTGAGGCACGGTGCTCTGCTCTGCTCCACCCCAGACTGGAAGGTTGGAGGGCTATGGGTGGGGGAACAGAGGGAACATGCCCCCACATCCTCCTAGACACAACCCATCCCCGAGCCCTCACGACAGTAGCTGAGCCCCCCCACACTCATCACACACGCTGCCAACCCCAAGGGACAGGCAGGATGAGGGGGGTGGCCGTTCCCCCTCCCCGCGGGCAGGGGACGGTCCCCAAGGGTGGCCCGCGGGGCCACCAGGGGATCAGGGCGAGGACGCCAGCCTGCGCCAGGCCCGCGCCGTCATCCGCACCTACGAGCTCAACGAGAAGGGTATGGCTGAGGACGGCCAGCTCCGTTCGTGGGTGGTGGTGGGATGGCGGGATGGGAGCGGCCGGAGCCAAGGGAGGTCATGGATGGCGTGGGGATGGGGCTCTGCTTGGTGGTGTCACCCCCATGTCGTCCTCCAAGGTTTGGGTGAGTGTCCCCATGTCCCTTCCCTGGGGTGGCATCTGGTTTCAGCGGTCCAACACGTGGCCTTGCTAGTCCCTGTTGGATGTGGCACTGTGGGGACAGGGGACATGAGGGTGGGGATGGACAGCAGGTGGACCTTCATGTCTCCTGGGTGATGCAGTGCCAGCCCTAGCATGAATGTGACACTGCCAGGGAACCTCCATGTCCTTTGGGTCCCACCACGGCAGGTCCAGGGTGAGCATGGCACCAGGAGGACAAGGGACATCATGGTGGGGATGGAGGACCTCCATGTCCCTTGGGTATCACAGTAGGAACCCTAGGGTGGACATGGCACTAGCAGGATGGGGGACATCAGGGTGGAGGTGGAATACCAAGGGGACCTCCACATCCCCTGGGTGCCACAGTGCCAGGTCTGGGGTGAACATGGCACTATGAGGACAGAGGACATCAGGGTGGGGACAGAGAACCTCCACATCTCATGGATGCCACCCTGCCAGCTCCAGGCAGAACATGGCACTGGCAGGATGGGGGACATTCAGATGGAGATGAGACACTCGTGGGGACTTGCATGTCCCCTGGGGGCTGCAGTGCCACGTCTGGGGTGAACATGGCACTGCTGGGAGACAGGGGACATCCAGCTGGGGACAGTCCCTGGGGTGGCACCCTGCCAGCAGCGTGCAGCCCTCTGCGACACCCCTCCACTGTGTCCCACAGCCAGGCAGCAGGACCTGATGATGCTGGATGGCTTCATGATGTACCTCCTCTCGGCGGCTGGTGACATCCTCAACCAGGAGCACACCAAGGTGCACCAGGACATGAGCCAGCCCCTGTGCCACTACTTCATCTCCTCCTCCCACAACACCTACCTGACCCGCAACCAGATCGGTGGCACCAGCAGCACCGAGGCTTACGTCAGGTGGGTGCCCCTGGTTGGTCGCTCCATGGTTTGAGGGTGCTGGGGTGGTGCAGGGGCCCATCCGGTAACGGTGCGGTGGCAGGGCGCTGATGGCGGGGGGGGGCTGCGTGGAGCTGGACTGCTGGGAGGGCTCCGACGGGGAACCCATTGTCTACCATGGCCACACGCTCACCTCCAAAATCCTCTTCCGCGATGTCATCGAGAGCATCCGCGACTACGCCTTCAAGGTCAGCCAGGTGCCACCAGCCCTGGGACGGGTGCTGGGTGCCGGGTGCTGAGCGCTGCCCGTCCCTGTGCCCAGCAATCACCCTACCCTGTCATCCTGTCCCTGGAGAACCACTGTGGGCTGGAGCAGCAGGCCACCATGGCCCGGCACTTGAAGGCCATCCTGGGGGACATGCTGCTGACGCAGCCGCTGGAGGGGCAGGACCCCCATGACCTTCCATCCCCGGAGGTAAGGCCACCCGCCCACCCATCACAGTGTCCCCATGTCCTCTCCGAGCCCTGAGCTCGGCCCTTCCTCCCACAGCAGCTGAAGGGGAAGGTCCTGGTGAAGGGCAAGAAGCTGCCAGAGCCGTGGCACGAGCCCCGGGATGTCACATCCCTCTCAGATCCCGAGGAGAAGGAAGAGGAGGAGGAGGAAGAGGAAAAGGAGGAGAAGCTGCAGGAGAGAAGCAGACGACAGGTAAGGGGCTCCCCCAGGGCTATGGTGCTGGAGGACCACGGCATCCTGGAGGTGCTAGAGGACCATGGCATCCCACTGGTCCTGGATGACCATGGCATCCCGGAGGTGCTGGAGAACCGTGGCGTCCTGGAGGTCCTGAAGGACCACAGCATCCCGGTGGTGCCAGGGGACCACTGCATCCCAGCATCCACCATCATGGCCCTGCTCTCTCCTCTTCCAGTCGCTGCAGTCACTGCAGGAGGTCAAACCTCTGCAGGTGGGTCGTGTGATGGAACTGGGTGGGCTGAGGGGTCGGGTACTGTGGGGGCGGCGAGCGGCTGTCACTGGCTGGCAGAGGGGACTGAGCTTGGGGACTCTTTGGCTGTGCCTTCCTCTTCCACCATTGGGCTGGGTGCTCCATTTGTGGGGTCTCCGTCACCTCAGGGTCTCCATTGCCTTTGGGGGTGATTCTTCATTGCCTTGGTTCTCCATCACCTTGAAGTCTCCATCACTTTGAGGTTTCCATCACCTCAAGTTCTCCATCACCTTGAGTTGTCCATCACCTTGGGTTCTCCATCATCTTGGGGTCTCTGACATCTTGGGGTCTGCATCACATCAGGGTCTCCACCTGCTTGGGTTCTCCATCTCTTTGGGGGTCTCCATTGCCTCAGGTTCTCCATCGCTTTGGGGTCTCCGTGGCCTCGGGGGTCTCAGCACTCAGCACCAGCAGGGTAGGGGATCTGTAGACCCTCAGGCAGGCGGGTGACCACCGGAGCTGGGGTGGCCCTGATCATGGTGGCTCTTGCAGGCCAAGGAAGCGTCACAGGTGGCCCCAGAGCTGTCAGCTGTGGTGGTGTACTGCCAGGCTGTCCCCTTCCCCGGCCTGGCCCACGCCCTGCGCCACCCCCAGCCCTGCGAGATGTCCTCCTTCAGCGAGAGGAAGGCTCGGAAGCTCATCAAGGAGGCGGGTGAGGGTGACGGGATGGGGACAGGGACAGGGGCAGGGTGGCTTCATGCTCCTGACCTCACTGGGAAGCAGCATGGGGCTGAGACCGAAGGGCTCTGTCACCGGGGTGGCTCCGCGGGTGATGCTCGGGGACACACTGGCCCTGGCCAAGCTGCTCTGGTCTGGTGGGACTGGGGTCTGGGGCCAGAGGCCAAGGTGAGGGTCACAGGGCCAGGGTCAGGGTTTGGGATGTGGCATCTGGGGCCAGGGTCAGGTGTGGGGTCTGGGGCTGGGATGAAGATCTGAGTTGGGGTCCAGGGTGTGGGGTCAAGGTCGGGGGTTTGGGTTCACGGTCCGGGGGTCCAGGGTCAGGGCCTGAGGTCAGAGTCTGGGGTCACAGTCTGGGGTCCAGGGCTGAGATTAAGATCTTAGTCAGCATCCAGGGTCTGAGGTCTAGGGTCAAGATCTGGGGTCCAGGGTCAAGGTCTGGGGTCTAGGGTCGAGGTCTGGGATCAAGGTCGGGGTCTGGGGTCCGGGGCTGGGATTAAGATCTGGGTCAGGCTCCAGGGTCTGGGGTCTGGAATTTGATCTGGGGTCAGGGCCTGGGATCCAGGGTCAAGGTCAAGGTCCAGTGTCAGGGTCTGGGGTCTAAAGTCAAGGTGTGAGGTCAAGGTCAGGGTCCAAGGCTGCGATTAAGACCTGGGTCAGGAGCCAGGGTCAGGGTCTGGGGTCAGGAGTCCAAGGTCGAGGTCCAGTGTCAGGGTCTGGGGTCTAAAGTCAAGGTGTGAGGTCACGGTCAGGGTCCAGGGCTGGGATGAAGATCTGG